ATGATGAATGTGCGAAAAGAATAAGTCTGGGGGAGAGAAAAGTACCAAAGTGTGTATGGCTGATTTGCTTGAGTATAGTACGGGAAAGAATCTAGAAAGTTCTTGGCATCTGAATCATCAGTGAGATCCAGCGATGAAGGTTTATGGACCATGTTGTGGAATTTTGGACTTAATCTGGAAAGCTGTGAATGTCTACGGAGAAGTACATGGTGGTTTGATTTGGAATGATGAAGCAGTAGTTGAGTTGCAGGGTGATCAGTCAAAAGCGATGTTCCAATGAAAGGTTTGAGTCTCTGTGTTTTCAAACTTCTTTCTCTTGTTTGGTGTTCTGTTTGCTTGAGGGCAAGCAAATGCTAAGTCTGGGGGAGTTGATATATCATGGTTTTTATGGTTTTTAACCATGGTATAAGTCTTATTTATAGAGTCTTTTTTGTGTCTTTCGAGTCTTTTGGAGTCTTTACAGGTCCTAGGTACGTTTGGAGCTTAACTGGAGACTTTGGAGCACTTTGGAGCTTAATCAGGATCAAATTCGTCAAGTATGGATTTTGTGCTTTAGTGACGCTCGACACCATGGAGAGTGACGCGTGACACTTGTCAAAGAAATAGGGAAAAAACGATTTTGTTTCCTATTTGAAGAAGGAGTTGGGCCTAAACGTTTCCAAGGAAGCCCAAAACGTGTCTTAGAGATATATATAGGGTTTTTATTCCCTTTTTACGATTACCTTAGATTTTCTTAGAGAGAGTTTTTGTTTTTGAGAGTTTTTGGGGAGACAAGTCTGAAACTCTGTTCCGGAGAGAGAAGATTTCGAATCCCTGTTTACTAATCTATTTACTGCTTACTGCAAACTATTCAATCATGTTTATTGCTTCAATCTCCATGTCTGAGTAGTTTGCTTGTTAGGTTTAGGGTTCTTATAAAGGATTTCATTGGATGTTAGATTGATTGGTTAGTTAGGGTTCATAATCTATTTAGTTCTTCACCATAGGTTGTTCTTAAAGCTAATTCTGGACTGGCCACCTAGAACTTAGATCTTAGGTTGCTTAATTGACACGGAAGTGTAATTGAATAACTGGAAAGAACCTAGGGTGAGCAAAGTAGCTATTCGCAAAGGAATTTGGTTTAGATACTTTGTGAACATATCGAACTTGAGCATTAAAGCTGGTTTAAATCTTTAGGGTTTGCAAAGGAATTTGGAATTCTAGGATTTTAACTTAGATAATTCTCACAACGGAAGTTGGTTAATTATAATTATGTGATTTGAGTTCAAGAACCGTGCTTAAACCTGAACCCTGATTTATCGATTTATCTGCATGCATTGATTTCCTGAGAAACGCCCTAAGCCTAATCTCCACCCATCTGAACTTTACAAACGTTTTTACTGCATTCGTTTATCTTTATTTGCATTGCTATTTGCTTCTCATTAATCTGCTTAGCGTAATTCAATTTCTAATAGGTTTATTGAGCGAATCTCTCGTCTCTGTGGTTCGACCCCTATTATACTACAATTGCACATCTGTGCTCTTGCAGAGTAGCTCTAGGGATTAAACTTTGAGCAGATCACTCCTGAACCGTTCCCAAGCTTCACTAAAGCTCTCGTTGCTGTGCTGCGTGAAACTTGAGATCTGATTCCTGAGCTTAGCCGTGCGTGATGTGGAAAAGAACTTTGATAAGAACGCCAGTTTACATTGCTCCCAGGTTTGTATAGAACCCCTCGGTATATTCTTTTCCCACTGGTGTGCTTTATTACCGAGGCTGAAAGGGAACAAGCGTAGCTTGAAGCTATCTTCGGAGACGCCATTTATCTTGGTTAAGTCGCAAACCGATCAAATTGATCTAGATGCTCGAGAGGGTCTTCTCCAGCCAGTCCGTGGAACTTTGAGTTTTGCACCATATTGAGCAGGGAAGCTTTAACTTCAAAGTTGTTGTTTTGAACTGGTGGAGCTTGAATCCCAGCTCGGTATTGGTGCGCATTAGCTCGGTCATTTTCTCCAACACAGATTGGAGGATGTTGTCTCTGTACTTGTGGCGGTGGCGGATGAACATGATGGGCTTGTTGCTCATTTCTATTCGCTTGGTGTTGGTTTTGCTGAGCAAGCCGTTCGTTTCTTTGAGCCTGTTGCTGATTAACATAGGGTTGTTGTTCATTTCTTCTTGCCTGCGCCTGGTTAGCCTGAGCCTGGTGCTCGGCTGCATGAGCCTGTTGCTCCATTTGTTGTTGTTCTGCCATTCCAAGTCTGTCAAAGTGCCGTTCTCTCTCGCGAGATCGCCTTTCTAATCGGTCGATGTTATCGTCGTATGGGAAAAGCGGTCCTGTGCTCCGAGATCTGGTATTCATGCACCTGAAAACAAAACAAGGACTTGGAAAGGAGTTAGTAAAACAAAAGAAAGAAAAGCTTGAACTTAAGAACAAACAAGAGACTAATGCTCCTACAAGTTGGCAACGGCGCCAATTGATAACTAAGGTTTTTAAGCCTTAATAAGGGTTATCAATCCCCTGTCAGAGTAGTACAAAGGGGTGTCAATCCAAGCTTGTAAACGAGACATTATCTATGTCATTTGTTCATTAAGTCAAGAGAGAATATTAAAGGTTTTTACTAGGCTAAGTATCAAGCGAATGAGCATAAAAGTAAAGCAAATAATGAGATTTGAACAAAGCTAAGATGCAAATGACAAATAAACGATTCAGATGATTATAACGAATGATAAAGGCAGAGACTTTAGACAAGATAATCGACTCGGGTGCTTCCAAGCTAAACTAATGGGCTAATGAATCATTTTATCAAGCGGTTTCATTTAACTTTGAACTCAAGGCATGTTAATCTTCTCATGAAAGTATTAAACATCTAAACTGATCCTCCTTCATACCAAAATATCTTTTGAGAAGCACGAATCAATCAGCAATAAGATTCAGTTCAAATATGTCATTTAAGAGGACAAACTATCACTCTCGCGATGAAAGACTCTTAAACCCTTAACAAGTGATTCAGACATTTCTACAAACACTTTTGATGCGAGATATGTCTCAGATCTGAACCTCAAGTGATGTGCTTGGATCCAGCCTAGAGATCTTGTCGGTTAAGGAATGAAACATGCAAGACTAGACACCTAAACCCATTAATCCACCTTGAAAGCACCCTAATCTACTTATCTAAAGTCGCTTAAACGACTACTCACTGATCATAACGAGCTCACTAAGTCCTTTGCAAGACGTGTAGCTAGTCATGATAAGGAGTTTGATGATTGGATGATAAAAGAAATAAAGAAAGAACGAGATTCAGATGCAAAAACGAGATATCGGATTAGATTAATCCAGTTTCACAAAAGAGGCAAGTTCTTAAAGCTAAAAACAGATAAGAGATAAGATGATTAGGTTTTTAGTCTCAAAATATATTTATAGCAAAGGGAAATTGTCGCGAGTCAGCCCGGAACAAACCGGGTACTGAACCGCTTCCTTGGGTTGATGGGTGAGTGCAACGGTGTGTCGGAAAGTGAAGCCGAGGTCTTCATGCCGAGGTGTGCACGTGAGTCAGGATCCAGGTGAAGATCTCGTGAAGAACACGTCAAGAACATGCATGAACCCTAGTCTTTGATCCATCCTCACGTGTGTGTTCTTAAGCCATTCTGTTCTTGATTCTGGGTTCGTGACAAGGGACCTCGGGATAAAATGTCGAGGGGTCATGATGTCGAGGTGTTTGGGAGAACACAGTCCGGCATGCACGCCGAGGTCGTTACACCGAGGGGTACTCTCAACACTTAGTCGTTTCCAGCTTTAGTTCTTACGTATGCATGCCTCGATCTAATCATGCCAAGGCTTTGGGACGAGGTCTGGTCCAAAATACTTCCAAGATATGAGTCTCGACTTGAGTGATGCCGAGGTAAAGATACCGAGGCTTGTGAAAACACTTAGCGCGTGTCGCAACTCATTTAGGCTTGTATCGACCGTGTCACCTTCTTGAAGCGATAACTTTCAGCACACGACTCCAATTGCTCTGGGACCAGTTCCACAGTCAAGATGACTCAACGAGCTCGAACTTTGGCCGATCGGTAAGGTTTTTGGCCGGTAATGAGCGTCCGGTAAACATTTTGGCCGAGGTTTCCGACCAGCCAGTACGCGATTTGGCCGAGAAATTCCTTCAAGCGGTTTTCACCATTTTTGACCCTTTTCTTCACCGTTTTCTTCTCTGCTCCTCTTCTTAAGCTCCGAATGACTTCCAAAGCACCTGATAAAGACTTCAAAACATGCAAAACTCTTTGGGACCTAATGCAAGCCCTAAATCCTATTTTCTTGCCTAAAGACTCAATCTACATGGGAAAACATCTGATGAGGACTCTAAAATGCACTCTAAATGATGTAAAATATAGACATATCATAAAACCATATGGAGTCGTTGTCTTAGAGGGAAAAGATGGGCAAGGTTTTGTTGTGAACGGCCAAAGAATCAAGCATTACTTGGTATCTGAAACAAGAGAGGGAGCTACCTCAGTTCCTCTTCTTGAACCTGATAACACCGTATTTTGACCACTTTTATGGATCTTTTTGAAATATTTTTTCTATGTTTTTAATTGCTTTTAAGTACTTTTATCACGTTTTTCTAGTATTTGTAGTTCCAAGACTCGTTTCAGGTAACTTATTGGAGATGTGGAGAAAGATGGTAATGCTAAAGTAGTCACCCCAGAGACACGTCCAACCCCACCTCCAAAAGCAAAACCTTCCAAGCGTCCTTGGTTTATGCATATCGCGAATTACCTAGCAGCAGAGGTCGAACCGCCACGATTCTTCGGCTACAACAAGAAGAAGTTCTTGTGATATGTTAGAAGGTACTTTTGGGATGAACCATATCTTTATAAGCAGTGTCCAGATAACTTGTTTTGAAGGTGCATCTCCGACGAAGAAGTTCCAGAAATCTTTTTTCATTGTCACGGATCTAACTATGTTGGACACTTTGCTACTGATAAGACTGTAGCGAAGGTTTTGCAAGCTGGTTATTGGTGGCCTACCATGTTCAAAGACGCCCATAAATTCATATCTAAATGTGATGCTTGCAAAAGACAAGGGAACATCAGCAAGCGACATGAGATGCCACAAAACTTCATTCAAGAAGTCGAAGTTTTTGATGTTTGGGGAATCGACTTTATGGGTCCATTTCCTTCGTCTTTTGGAAACAAGTACATCCTTGTTGCTGTTGACTACGTGTCTAAGTGGGTAGAAGCCATAGCCAGCCCCATAAATGACGCAAAAGTAGTAATGAAGATGTTGAAGTCGATCATATTTCCAAGATTTGGTGTTCCGCGACTCGTCATCAGTGATGGTGGTTCTCACTTCATCAACAAAGTGTTTGAGAATCACTTGAAGAAAAATGGAGTGAAACATAAGGTAGCTACACCTTATCACCCGCAGACGAGTGGCCAAGTGGAGGTATCAAACAGAGAACTCAAAAGAATTTTGGAAAAGACAATAGGACCAACAAGAAAAGATTGGTCTGCAAATCTTGATGATGCTCTTTGGGCATATAGAACTGCGTTCAAAACCACATTGGGTACTACACCTTTCCAACTTGTTTATGGTAAGGCTTGTCATCTTCCATGGGAATTAGAGCTCAGGGCAGAATGGGCCATAAGAAAGCTGAATTACGACATCCAGACAGCAGGTGCAAAACGTTTGATTCAGCCAAATGAGTTAGACGAAATTCACCATAACGCCTATGAGAATTCCAAGATCTATAAGGAGAAGACGAAGGCGTTTCATGACAGGAGAATAGTTCCTAAGACGTTCTCACCTAATGACCAGGTTCTACTTTATAACTCACGGTTAAAACTATTTCCCGGAAAGCTTAGAACACGATGGTCTGGGCCTTTCAAGATCAAAGAAGTTTTACCATATGGTGCTGTGGTTCTATGGAACCGTCAAGGAGGCGATTTCACTGTCAATGGACAACGTCTTAAGCCATATATTGCAGACATTCAAGAAGAAAAGGAAGATCCGATCTCCTTAGCAGGTGCACTTAATGCCTAATAGACGACCAAGTCAAGCTAACGACTTTAAACAAGCGCTTAGTGGGAGGCAACCCACTCAGTATTTTACTTATTTCCCTTTGATCTTTATTTTCTATTTTTTTGCTTTGTTTTTGTTCTATTTAATTTCAGGTTTTTACAAAGAACAACAAATAAAAGACGAGCAGAAATCATAAACCGGAAATCGGCAATTACTCCAGCCCTGTTGAAACTTCGACCTGCGCTGCCATCATTCCAACCGCGACTCATTATTCTGGCAAGGTAAGTACATCTAAACACTTCAAATTTCTATTTCCTTATCCATCCTTTCTTATATTTTATAAAACTGAGGACAGTGTGAAATAAGTCTGGGGGAGGATGTTCATCCGTTACTAACAAAATTTGATTTGTTTTGAATTTGTTTTGGGTACATAAAATTTTTCAAAAAGTTTTTCAAAACGTTTTCAAACCAGGAACAAAATAAACATTACTATGATGATTTGGACCAGTGTGCTTCTACGCTATTTCCTTGGTTTTTGCTGTTTTGTGATTTAGGCCTAGACAAGGCGGTATCTAGAATACTTGCACTACGAACTCCCACCAGAGGACTTCTATTCATGGAGATTCTTTCTGACAGGATATACTAGCTCATTTTATTTGGACTTAATCTTGACTTAACTTTCTCATTAAAGCATTAGATCAGGGAAACGAATCATACATTCAGGACTCCTTTACCCTTTTACCACTCTTTGTTGATCCTGAATGGCTAGTTCACCTTTAGCTAGTTCCCCACCGTAACCCAACCTCTTTCAAACCACATGCATTCTTGTTTTTCATTGTCCTATATGCAGATATGTGCAAAAACGTTGGAGAGAAAGAGGATCAACGCGGTTTTGAGTCACTAAAGACAGAGACCCGCGATTTCATTGGAATGATTCAGAAAAAGGAGAAAACTCAGTTTGCTTTGGAAAAACTTCAAATCTTGGTACAATTTCGTCCTTTAGACTCTCTCTTAATAAAAGGTTGTTTCTCCTTTCGAAAAAATTAAAAATATTCCAAAAAAAAAACGAAAAAGAGCAAAAAAATAAGAAACAAAATGAAATAAAAACCTTAAGAGAGTCTAGGAGGATCGATTTTATCCTTGAGGCAAGCTAGAGTTCGATTATATGGAGTTTTGGAGATCATCTTTCTGATTCCCGGAAAAGATCTAAGTCTGGAGCAACAACTGTTTACAACCAAGGAAGAAAGACTATGCAACAACATTATGCAAAGAGAAGTGACTGAAAATTGCGGGCATCAACAGGTCCACTCTCTCTTGCGGTTTTGCATAATATCTTGCATCCTCCAGATCTTCAGGTAACCCGAAACACTTTAACTCCACCACTTAAATAGCCCTTGATTACCAAACGCCGTCGACCCTGAATTGTGTCTTTAATAAGAATTCACTATGCACTTAATGAATGTTAAGAGCTAGTTTACTGGAAGTTAGATCTAAGTGTGTAGATTTTCGCATGACGGATCAACAGACTAGTTATGTTTGTATTTCGGTGAGAATTTTCTAGACTATATCCAGATAGATGTTTTACGATAGGTTATGGTTTAGAAGGACGGTCACTGAGATATTGTTTAGTTCCTGAAGGTTTTAAAAGATTCTTTCCTGGCTTGATCTATGTTTTGTTTGAGGACAAACAAAGGTTTAAGTCTGGGGGCGTTGACAACACCGGATTTTGACCATTTTTATGGATCGTTTTAATATCTTATGCAGGTGTTTTAACTCTGTTTTCAATGGTTTTTAAGTGATTTCTATGTTCTAGAGTTTGAAAAGACTTTTCAGGAAACTTGGACTAAAGATGTGCAATTTGGAACAAATGAGCAATTTTGGATAAATGCAGACCGTCAGAAGTATGACACTCGATGAAGACTTTCTCACCGTCTGATCATCGCCAAAATTTGAGACAACATAGAGGAGGCAACCAACTTTCTAATGCAATTAGTTTAAATACAAACCAACGGTTAGATCTTCAGATATTCTCGATGCACTAAAGACAGAAAATGCCGTCTTGAAGGAGAGCTTAGGCCGCGACCGCGGCCAGACCATGATTCTCCGCGGTCAGGACCACCGAGTACGCGGCCAGACAACATTGACGTCCGAAAGTGACCTAATTCAAGCCCAAGTTCAGCCCACTACTTATTCTTCAAACCCTAGACTTTTCCAGCTAATTAGAAGACTATATATACTCGTTTTAGGTCATTCTAATGACCAAGTCATGGAGAGAGAGTAGAGAGGAGCCGCATAACTTCGGAGTTGCCATCTTCGGGAGAAGAAGGAGTCGCCGAAGGAGCCACCAACGATCTCCATCTTCATCCTCGTTCTTCGTTCTTTACCTTTCTCTTATTTAATTTCTAGCAAACTACAATACTTCTATGATGTTCTTATACACTATGATTGGGTAATTCCCTTTTTGGGTTTTAAGGGATTTTTCAAAGGGATTCATGGATGGATTTATGGTTTGTTAGATTAGGGTTTATCTTTAGAGTTCTTCGTCTAAATCTGCGTTTCTTTTATGTGGCTTCGATCGATCTTCTAGCTACTGCGATTAGGTTGATTTACTCACCGAAAGTGTTGTCGAATAGATTTACCATACTTAGATGAACAAATTCTCTTAGACGGTGTGATTCGATCTAAAGCGTGTTGTGAAATTATCAAAAGAATTTGTCTAGACACTTAGAAAACTTAATGAGAGGTTAGTAAATCTGAGTGAATTGATTTGTGATTAATACTACGTGAGTAGGTTATTCTGGCTTTGATTTCAGGAACACATCTATCGAACACTCTATGTTTAATTCTCTTGTTACCTTGTCTATGATTCCCGGCGAATTCACTAACGCTCAACACCTTCTCGTATTGATTTGATCTTATTTTTTACTTGTTTTTAAATTTATTATTTGCTATTTTCGTCACTGTTCACAACCCCCAAACAAACACCCATATTTTCATCTTAGCGCAGTTCTCATCTCAAGTACACTCGTATTGTAGTTACTTGGTCTTCAGTGGATCGACCCCTAAGTACTACAACATACATCTGTGCACTTACAGAAAACTAGGATTAAAACCTGAGCACATTACACTCACACCACATCACATCTAAATATTGACTTTATGAGGACAATTAATTCTCATGATAAGCTCATAATGTAAAATACAAACTTGAACTCTTTTTGTAACATACAAAGTTAATTCATGTCATTATGGGAGACTCAAAACGTCTATACCCACTTTATGGCTAGCAGATCCATTTCCCAAGGGTCTCGCTTGTGATCAAGTTCTAAAATCATCTAAAGAAATGGGTTTAAAACCTATGACTTAAGAGGATGTTTGATGGACACCCCACCTACATGACTAGAGATTTCAAGATGTTAGGTTCAAAAGGGAAAACCTAAATCAAACAAAATCTAATGAACTGAAAGACTGATTGTCTTTACCTAGTTACCAAGATGATAAACAGTGTCTACATACAATGCTCATTGTATATCTACAAGGATAAGCATAGCTTTGAATGATAAGACCATAGCTTTGATATATCAGTGGAGTTTTCAAAACACCTTAAAACAAAGACTAGTGGCAAATCACCTAATGAGTGTGAAATACGGCCGTGTCTAGGAGAATGAAGAACATACTATGTTCTCCAAGTTCACTCATGATTAACCAGGCAATTTCAAGGTCACAATGAGCACAATAGAGAGCTAAGTTCTACGAAAAAATGAAACTGGGTTGTACTTGTTGTCTCGGTTTACATAAAAATCAAGGTGGTTCAAGACATCATGTTCACCTCTTGGCCAAGTAAGCCCGACATATATTAACATTGAGTGGTTCAAGGTTGAATCACACTACCATCTCAAACACAATGATATTTCGCTTATACTCTCGAAAGTCTATCTAGTCTAGTCAAGTATAGCTTATCGAGTCAGTCTAGTCTTCATATGTCTAGAGTTATTTCTATTCATGTGGGGTATTGTTGGACCAAATTTAATCAAAGCCAATGACTTATTAATATGGTAAAGTGTGAAAAGAAATAAGAGATTATACACTTAGTGTATTAGAGGAGAGGAGATATTTTCTGGGTCAAGATTGTTTTAAATTTCTGGTCAACCAAGCTATTTCATTCAATATTGATTGTCTTCTTTATTCACAGTTGACTCAGAGTAAATTTGAATTTGTAACCTCCACATCTCTCCATTATTGCCTATTTTTATTGGGCAAAACTATGAGACAATATAAAAAAGACTCTTGTCTTTCTTATTTTCTCACAGGCACTTTCTCTCCTTTGCACAGAGTAAAAACTTATACTACTCAGCAATCTTTCTCTTGCTTTAGTCTTCTTGAAAAAGTAAGTCCAAGAGTATATCGTATTCTATAATTGGGTGCTGCGAGTAAAGTATTACAGTGGTTGTATCATGGGATTTTTTATCACATAAACCGTGATAAATTGATTATGGAATGGTAATGAGGTGATATGATGGTTAATGATAGGTAATGGTTGAGGTGGATGTGGTACTTGGCAGAATTTGGATTGATTTGGCCAAAGAATATATGAATTGGCCAAGATGTGGCCAATGTTGTTCAAACGCGGGTGAAGAAATCTCGGCCGTGGTGTAGAGTTGATCGCGGCTGCGGTGAAAAGAAGCTCAGCCGCGAGTGGAGAGCTCGCGGCCGTGGTAGCGCCATATATATATATTAGTTTGGAATGCATTCTAAAGCCTGTAATTAAATAAGAACAAAACAACAATAGAAATAGAAAGAAAAACTTAATAGATAGATACCTAAAAATGGGTTGCCTCCTATCAAGCGCTTTTTTTTATAGTCCTTAGCTAGAATTTTGCAAAAAGATTAGCTTAGTCTAGTGAAGATCTTGTCATAAGACAAGATTAGCTTAGTCTAGTGAATACCTCAAAGTTGTCGTCTTCGGGAGAAGAAGGAGTCGCCGAAGGAGCCACCATCGATATCTGCCTTCATCCTCGTTC